CTGAATGCTTTCCAAGTTGGCAGATTTTGTTCCTTTAGACATTGCAAGTAGTTCTCAAGCCAGACTTCTTTATGTTCTACATTGAAGATTGATTTTGAGATTTTGATTTTACCTCAAACTGAACATATCCAAGACAAAATTCGTAATCTTCTGCATACTCCCGACACCTATGTCTTCTAAAACAACAATAGCAACAACACACCACACATATACATGGCTTTCATTCAGTCTTTCCTGTAAATGGGTTCATCAGTCATCTGACACTTCATTCTGCTTCCTCTCTAGCATCTAACTATCACCAAATTGGTCCATTATACCTTATAAAATTCTCTCAAAGATAATCCACTTTCTCTCATTGCTGCTTCATCACCTTAGATCATATGACCATGATCATTCTCTGGAAATATGCGACCAAGTTTTCAAGACATCCTCCATCTGTCATCTCAGATCTGTTTTCCACACTACAGGATGACTTTCATGAAATAGCAACTTTGATCATGTCAACTCCCCTTCCTCCCACTAAGAAACCTTAATGGCTTCCCGTTATTCTTGGGATAAAGACCATCCTTAACTGGACCTGTCAGGTGTTTCGACATCTGAATCTGCCTCTTACTCTCTCCAGCCTCTGGTGGGAGCAGTACTCTCTAACTCATTCTACTCTAGTCAAACTGTAACTTTTCATAAATTTTGCCCTTGCCATCTACAGGGTCATTGCACAAATGATTTCCTTTCCCAGGAGTTCTTTTCCCACATACCTTGACCAATTAACTCCTGGGTATCTGATAAGGATTCACTGTGTTCTCCCAAAGTATGTATGTATTGTACATCCTAAGCCCTTTACCTGTAGTTATAATTCCTTTGGGATGGGTTTTCTCTGTTATGTTATTGAGGCAGAATTAGTGGATGGTGTGTGTTTAAGTCAGTCTCTTTTGAGATATAAAAGATTAAACAAGCTAACATGTATAGACGTTGGGGAGAGAGATGCCATATCACATGAAAACCACTAAGGAATTAAGGGATAGAAACTGATTTGCTAAGGACTTCACCCCAGAGCTGACACAGAGAGAAAGCCTTCCCTTAGAGCCCACACCCTGAATTCTGTCTTAGTCTCCTGTTTGTGAGTTAATAAATTTGTTAAAGCCATCAATTTATGGTATTTTTGTTACAGCAGCACTAAACAACAAAGACAACATTCTTCTGATCTCAGCTCTGCCATCTTTCTCTTAAGGGAGTCATGATTCTAGTCTTTATTATAGCTGTCAGAGCATTTATCCCTCCTTTAGTGGTTATTTCTGTGTGATTGATTATTAATCTGTCTTCTCCACTAGACGACGAACTCTGTGAAAGCAGGGAATGAATATGCTTATGCTCACTATTGGGTTGTTGGTAATTGCTGCCTGGCATATGGTAGGCAGGCACACTACCAACATTTATTAAGTGAGTCTCTGAATGGTCATTGCCTTAATGTCTCAAGATGAGCATGTTACCAGAAAGTGGTATAAAGAATTACCAATGGGCAGACAAAGCTAAATTTTGACTGTAGGATAAGCACTCGACTATAAGGTCAGTTTGAACCACAAGGTTGGCAGTTCAAACTTATCAGCTGCTCCTCAGAAACCCTACACAGGATCACTATGAGTTGGAACCAACTCAAATGGCTCTTAATAATACACAGAGTTATCTGTTGAGTAGTAAAATAATTTCTAAACTAATTTCAAGTCCCTTGCATTTAATTTTTGTCCAAGGTAAACTATACTGGAGCACAGATTATTGTAGGATTTGAAGATGGGGTTGTTCGAATTCTGGAGCTTTATGACCCAAAAGAGATAGCAGTTTTTGCAGGACGGAAGAAAATTTTGGATGCGGAGATTCAATTGAAATATGTTTTCAAACCCCACACTACTTATGTCACTGCCCTAGCTTATGAACGTGATGGAGAAATTCTGGCCACAGCGGTAATAGTACATTTCCTATTGTGTTCTATTAAAATGTTAAAATGCAATGGCTAATCTGGTTTTATAAATCTCTCTTCTTGATCATGCCTTAGTTACTGACACTCATTTTCTAGGAACTATAGTCACAATTTTATTTGTTTGGATTCATATTATTTCAGTGCAGTTTATGCATGATGTTAAAATACATGTACAAATTGAAATTTAATGGTTTTCTTATTTAAAAGGAATGGAACATTTAGACTAATAAGAATCATATTAGATGCGTTATATATAGTAGTGACTCTTTTTGGTCACTAAATAGGTTTTTTTTTTTTTATTATTCTTCAATGGAAGTGCCATAAATTTAAGAGGATGGCTATGTAAATTAAGCATTAATAGAAGAGCATGTATATTGTGACATTTGTTTGGTCAACATTTTGTGTACTTGTTTGGAGGTCATATTTTCAGAGCCATAGACTGGAATGAAAGGTTTGTCAAGTGTTCTTATGGGGAATGTAAAGCAAATATTTGAAAAAAGGATTCTCTCAGAATAATCGGGAATCTGTAACCATTGTAATTATGCATATATAGTGGCTGTACTATATGCTATTAAGAGCTTCTGTTTGTTCAGTGGAATAGATTTCATAGTAATATGCATTTGCTGGGTGTGTCTCTCTTCTTTTAGAGTAAAGATCAAACTGTCTTCTTCTTTGAAGTGGAAAAGGATTATAAACCAATAGGTTATATTACTACTCCTGGACCTGTTTGCCAGTTAATGTGGTCTACGACATCTCATGTAAGTAATTGTTATTTGTCTTTATGCTTAAATCTCAAAGATGACATAATGATGTGATCTGATAGAGAATAATTGTTGGAATTATTAACACCACAGCTGGGTCCTGGAGTGGGTGCTGAAGGTTGCATTTCTGAGTATCAGCAGCACGTGAATAATCAATGAAACAGCATCAGCTTCTGAATCTCTAAACCTCCTTATCAGCAGTCATCTTTACAGCTCACCCATACATGCACAGCTACTCATTGGATGGCATTAGCACTAAGAACTCAACCTTAAAAACCAACTATTTAAATACCCTAATTAACCTCAACCTATGCCTTTCAGCCTGTTCATTTGGTTGTTACTCCTTTTTCAATAGTTCTCTGACGTCACAGGGACCTCTTATTTACTTAATCTCTTTGCTTTCTCTAACCCATCATCTCTATTCTTATTTTCATTTTCCTTCCATTAATATTCAGTTTAAATGTAATGATTTTTCATTTCAATAAGGATCAATAACATTCTTCCAGTGCTCTTGAATGTTATTGATCCCTCTGTCTTTTCTTCATAGCCATCTGGCAAAGACCCATTCCTGAATATACCCAACTGATTTATATTTCCCTAAGGAGCTCTGGTCGCATAGTGGTTACAAATTGGGCTGCTGACCTCAAGGTCAGCAGTTCAAAACTACCAGCCATTCCATGGGAGAAAGAGGAGGCTTTCTGCTCCTGTAAAGATTTACAGCCTCAGAAACCCTGTACAGGCTCGTTATGAGTTGGAACCGACTCCGAGGCACCATCTTCAAATCCAGCACCATAGTGATGAAAGAGTCCTGGTGTAGCTCTGTGGGTTAATGCACTCAATGGTAAAGTTGGCTTGAACTGCAGGGTTGGTGTTTCTAGCTCACCAGCTGCTTCTTGGAAACCCTATACAGGATCACTATGGATTGGAACCAGTTCGATGGCAGTTAACAACAACAACATAGTGATGGAGTATGGTACTTCAGGTTAATACGCTGGACTGCAAAGTTGTTTGAACCGCAAGGTCAGCAGTTCAAGCTCACCAGCCACTCCTTGGAAACCCTATACAGAGTTGCTACAGGTTGGAACAGACTCAACAGCACTTAAAAACAACAACATAGTGATGAAGTAGAGTCCTGGTGTGGCGCTGTGGCTAATGCATTGGACTGCAAGGTCAGTTAGAACTGCAAGGTCGGTGATTCAAGCTTACCAGCTGCTCCTTGGAAACCCTATACAGGGTTGCTGAGTTGGAACCAACTCGATGGCACTTATCAACAACAACATAGGGATGAAACGAGAGCTTCTGGAAAGATACATCAGGGAAGATTAGTTCCTTCCTAATTTAGTGATTCCAATGGCCTCAGCATAGTCCATTGAATGACTTAGCAGTCCTACACATTATTCTTACCAGATCCCTGTTTCACCCACAGTAATAATTTCAAAAAGCCTCCTTTAAAAGCTTTACAAGTCCACTTGCACTCTCATTCTCCAGCATCATTTACTTTCTAGAAAAACTAGGAAAGAACTCAGGCAGGGACTCCTTCAGCTTCCCAGTGTTGCTGTTGTTAAGTTTCATTGCGTTGGTTCCGACTCATAGTGACCATGTATAAGGTTCCTGAGGAGTAACTGGTGAGTTTGAACTCTGATTTAGTAGTTAGCAGTCCAGTGTTTATTCTACAGTGCCACAGAATACCTAACATAAAATTCTATCTTTGCAGTAGAGGAGCTGTCTCCCTTTCAACTTGAGGCAAATCCTGCCTCTGATTCTTTGTCTTTCACATTCTCCCACATTTTTCAAGATTTCATACTACTTACTATTATTTTTTTCTTTTTTATCATATAAAGTTAACCTCTCCTGATTACTAAATTATTTTCATCAGTAAATACATTTTCATCAATAAAATATATTAAAGTTTCTCCACTTACAAAGAAACCCCCAAATTTCCTTGGCCTTTTGCTCTCTCTTCTCAGGTACCTTTCTTGGAAGATTTGACTTTCCCTATAGGCCCTAGTGTCTCATACATATATGTATAACTTTATTTAAAATTTACATAACTATTCCCATATTCTAATAAGCTAGGTAGTTTTTGTTTATAATTTTTCTGCAAATATACTACACTGTTGTTGTTGTTAAGTACCGTGGAGTTGGTTCTGACTCATAGTGACACCCTGTACAGGGTTTCCAAGGCTGTAAATCTTTATGGGAGCAGAACGCCTCATCTTTCTCCCACAGAGCCACTGGTAGTTTCGAACTGCTGACCTTGAGATTGGCAGACCGACTCGTAATCACTTGGAGACAAATTACAGTGGCATTATTGGTAGAAATATCAGAATCTCATAGCATTACATTTTTATCGTAGAGGACAAGTGAACTTCCAGGGTTTATAATGGAATATGCATGCTTGAGACTTGTTACCTTCTGATAGTTCACTGCATCTGGGTATTTCTGAAAAGTATAGAGGAGCTTTTGGATTTCAAACTTATTTTAAAATACATTTTAGATGAAAAAAAATTTTTAAGTTCTGCTTATAAGTTTACTTTTCTCCACAGTTACACTACTTAAAGCAAAGCTTTGTTGATTATTGCTTCAAGCATTTATATTTAGAATGCTAAAAACAATCTATCTTATAATTTCTGGGTGGGTGGGTGAATCATTTCTTTCATAACCTTGTTTCTTGGATGTAAACAGAAATCCAGCAGAGATTATCATTACTTAGCACACTCAGTAAAGAAATCTGAGAGCATTTGTATCTGTACCATTTTCTGACACCTCAGAATCTTTCTCTAACTTCTAGTTTCATTATTCCAGAAAATCAGCTTTTCTTCAGTGATACCCATTTAACATTTTTAATTCTTATATTTTTTTAACTTCTTAACCTCATTTGACACTGTTGCCCTTTTCTTCCTCTTTGAAATACCATCTCCCTTTGACTTTTATGGCACAAGGTTGGTAGTTCAAACTCACCAGCCACTCCTTAGAAACCCTATACAGTGCTGCTATGGGTCGGAACCGACTTGATGGCACTTAGAAACAATAATAACAATGCTCTTCTGAGCTCCTTGCTCACATCTTGTCATTTTATCTCAGTCTCCTTCACCCAGCCATGTAATATTAAAATTTCTTAAGGCCCTATCATAATTTCATTTCTCATTCTGTTCTCTTGCCCTAAGTGATGCTATCTACTCCAACAACTTTCTTATAACTCCAGATTTGTTATAGACTGGACTGTGTAGTCCAGACTTGTTCTCTAGGTCCATATGTGTATATTTGATTCCTTAATGTACATTGTTATTTACATGACTCAAAGATAACTCAAATGTAACTGGTCCAAACCAATTTTAGGATTATTCCACACTAATCTACCTATGTGCTCATAATCTTAATCTTTGCAAATGTCATCACCATTTATACACCTGCTTCATTCAAACATCTGAGAGCTCTTTGTATTTCCATCTTCCATAGCACCCTCAAATTGAAGATATCATTGATGTTTACCTCCCAAATATCTTCAAATCTGCCCAATTTTATATACTTTGCTACTACCAGTGCACTGGTCCAAGTCATAAACATCTCAGACTACTGTAGTTTGTTTCCCTCTCACCTATTCTTACTCTTGACAAAGTATTGTCTTTTGGGTGGCAAAAACATTTCTTTCCAAATGTGAAACTGATCTCTCTGCAGTTAGCCCCTCAGGGCTTTCTATTGGACATAGGCTAAAGATCAAAATCTTTCACCTTGCCTTGGGGTACTGTACCACTACCCACTTCTGTTCTGACCATTTGTATCTCTGTCCTCCACTATTCCCACACACCCACACATACACTGAACTTTTTGTACACCAACCCACATATTTTCTTCCGTTTCCTCCAATATGCCGCTTCCTACGGACAAATGATCTTTTCACATGGTGCTCCATTATATAAAGTGCTTCCTCAAACTTTCCCTCTACTCATCCTTCACACCTGGTGTGGCTCTGTGGGTTAATGCACTGCACTGCAAGGTCGGCGGTTCAGGCTCACCAGCCGCTCCTCAGAATCCCTATACAGGGTCGCTAGGAGTCAGAACTCACTTGACGGCACTTAACAGCAACACCCTTCAGCTTAAAGCTTAGGTACCATCTTCTCAGGAAGTCTTTGCACAAGCTCCTTGTTCTCAGGGCACCTCTATAACACTTGTCTCAGTTATAATTTACATTTGTTCCTAGGATTTGTTAAATGAGGGGTGGTAAGCTCCATATGGAGTCCTGGTGTGGTGCTGTGGGCTAATGCGTCAGACAGCAAAGTTGTTTGAACTGCAAGGTCAGTGGTTCAAGCCCACCAGTCTCTCCTCAGAAACCCTATACAGGGTCGCCATGGGTTGGGACCAGATTGACTCGATGGCAATGAACAACAAATTCCATATGGAGTGCTGGTGTGGTGCTGTGGGTTAATGAGCTGGACTGCAAAGTTGGTTTGAACCACAAGGTCAGAGGTTCAAGTTCATCTGTCGCTCCTGTACAGGGTTGCTATGGGTTGAAACCAACTCGACGGCACTTAACAACAACAACAATAACAAGCTCCATATGGCAGAGACTGTACCAACTTTACTTATTATAATTGAATGAATGATCATTTTGAATCTTACGCTATGGAGTATATAGATGCTATTGCTCATACATGGTTGTTAATGCCATTGAGTCAGTTCTGACCTGTAGCAAGCTTGTACAGGGTTTCCAAGGAGCAGCTGGTGGGTTTGAATTGCAAATCTTCTAGTCCAAACTGACCTTGCAGTCCAGCATATTATCCTGAATATGGTTGTGGAGTTCAAGAGGAAGGTCTGGGATGGGGAAATTAACTTGAAATCATTGCGTGCAAGTGACAATGAAGCCTGAGTTGTTTATAAAGTTCTCTAGGGAGAGTTTATGCAGAGAGAGAGGAAGAGGGCAGAGGACAAAAGCACTGGAAAGATCTCTATATAATAAACTCAGGTAGACAGGCAATGAACCATCAAAGGAGGCGCAG